TCTCAATCTTCATCATTTCCACCAATTCATCATATGTCGAAGGGTTCTTGCTTCGGACATCTCTCCAGAACGTGTTCATGTTTAGCCCTCCTTTCAGGGCTGAAAGGGCATCTTTGTCTGTGACTTATTCACGGTATGTTATCTCGTCGGTGAAGCAAGCAAGAAAGCTCTTTAGGGTCTCCCCGACTGCTTGCCTCATGTCTTGCAAGCGTTGAATCTGCGCCTCTCCCTCTTTTTTTGAAAGATATTGGTTTAGGAATGCATTTTTCAGGTCTGGCAAACTTCTTATGCTAAGCAGTGCCAACCTACTATACCATACTTCGGCAGTTCCGTCGAGAGTTAGATGGAATGCCCTGCATTTCAAAGCTGGTGAGGCGCCTCTGAGGTTCATTTGTGTTTTATACTTGTTGAGATGCTTCTCCGGATCGCCTTTTTCTCCGTATTTGGGAATTTGAGGAGGGACAAAGTTATGAGGCATCAGAAAGGTGCGAAATTCCCTAGAGAAGGGCAAGTTGTCATTATCATCAAGAAGTTCGTACAACCTACATGGTTCGTCGGAATTGTTCCCATCTGCTGCTAGGCGAGGTGGATGCTGGGCGGTTTCATCTATGTTCCCCCAAACCACCATATTTCACCTATCTCGCCTATTTCTAGGCTGAGGAGCTTGAGCGTGGCTTTGTACGAGCTCCTGCCGGAGCGCCTTTTGGTGCGTGGGCTGGTTCCTATTTCTAGGCTCCCGTACGATCCAATCAAAAACGCTAGCAGACCTCTGGGGATGCTCTTCATATTCCGGAGGGAAGTTGTCCTCTCCTGCAGGGGCTTTGTCAGCCGGTGCGGCTGTGTAGTTGGAAGTATCCATTCCCACTTCTCTTTCGATAGGGGCTTCGCCCTGAGGACTCAAATGGGTTCTCCGGCTAGATTCCGCCTCAGCTCGTCTATGGGCTGATTGTTGAGGATTTTATAGGGCCTGGAGACCACCTTAGTTGTACACTTGCATGAGGAGTTCTTGCATGGCAGTATTTTGAGCTGCAATGTTCCTTGTGTTCGTGGCCATGCTAGCCACTTCGGCAACCAGCTGAGCTGTCCTGATGCCTCTGCGATACCCGTGATGGGGTCGCTAAAGTGTGATATTCCGTGAAATCTCTTCAGAGATCTCCCTCGTCATCCTTGGGTTTATCCCTTCGTTACTGGAGCTCATGGTCCGATGAGAAGGACCTCTTCTTAGTAGCAGGGCTTGATGTATTGCTGATCCGTTTTCAAGAACCAATCCCTTTTTCAAGGGAGAATATCAACCGGGTATTCGAACAAGCTTTTTGGTCGAAAGACTTCGTGGTTAATGTAAGTTTCCCACAGACGGCGTCAATCTGTTGACCTCGAAAAATGGCTCCAACACGTGGCCAATAGAATAAGTCTTTGAGTCAGCTCTTCCTTGCACATATAGCACGACGTTAATCACCCGTGGCCTATCCCAGAGGAGTTGGGAGCGGTCGCGAGCACTCCGATTGTCAAGTCAGTTTATAGTTCAACCGAAAAGGGTTCACCGACATTAAAACACTCGCCGAGAAGTGGTTGACAGTGATAAAAGTACCAATATTGAAGGGAGAGGATGATACTCAAGTTGGTAATGTCTTGTAGGAGAATGTGTAGGATTCGTATTTACGTGATTCCAACATGTGGGATTCCAAAGTCCTTCGGCACAAGAAGGGAATATTTATACTAAGGATGGGAAGAGGAAAGCCGTTGGATGAGGAGACACGAGTTATCAGATCATCAGGGCTCATCCCATCTTAGGTGTCAATCTGTCCCTCCATCGATTGGCTGGCATTGAATATCTCTGACAAATACAACTGAATTGACTGTTTGGGTCCTTCCACACGTCCCATCAGTCGGGGATTTGACTTTGGAAAGATCTTTGTACAAGAAATCTTTGATGGACAAGGGGAGGCAAGTGGGCGTTGCAGAAGCGGAGTGCGGGCATTTGCATCCACGGTATACTTGCGGATGAATCTGGTTCCTTCGCTGGCACGTGTTCAATTTGTCCCATGTAATCACTTCGGCATGTACAATCAGCTCGTCCCATGTACAATCACCTCGGTCGACGCGTGTCATGGTGTAGACCACCTCTACTGACACGTGACGGGTAAGGTGGAGGATCTGACACAGACCCGTAAAAAAAAGTTAAGTTGAGAATAAAAATGCAATAAAAAGTGAATATATTGAGTACATTTGGTGAAATTAAGAATTCATTATCTTTCCAAATTGATGTCAATTCTGTTGCACCAAGAATACCTTAGACAATAACTCAAAAAGTGAAGAAAAAAGAAAGAAACTTTTCAGCCTACAAAACCTTAAGCTACGACAAAATTATTAAAAATATAACTTTTCAGCCTACAAAACCTTAAGCTACGATAAAATTATTAAAAATAAATAATAGCAAGGGCAAGCCTACAAAATTAATTCTGGTGAATCATCGTCTCCTTCCTACATAGAGGGAAGCCCTGTTAGTCTCTCTTAAACCCTTGTGGCTATAGAAGAACCCCCCTCACTTGCAGTTCTCCTCACATTCAAAGATAGCATTTCCCTCTACTTCCTTTTACTTCCCCCTTTTCCCTTACCCTTTTCTTTCCCCTTTCCTGGTCCCTATGCCGATCCTTTACCTTTCTGCTTTCCCTTTGTTTCTTTAACCCACTTGCTCATTCCCTGCTTCCTAGCATCCTTTTTCATTCGTCGATCAACAAGAACTTTCCCTTTGCCAGCCTTGACTTGGACACCCTTCTTTGCTACCACATATTCCTTCTTAGGTTTTTTAGGTGTTGCCTTCTTATAAAGCTGTTCAATCATTTTCATCTTCGAACGATCAGATATTTCTATCTGGTCCGATTTAGAGTTCGCCTTCTTGAGTACCTTTTCTAGTTGCCTATGGGAAGATCGTTTCTTTCTAGCTTTGGCTTGTGCCACCTTCTTAGCAGGCCGAGCATCAATTTCTTTGAATTGTGCTCTTATTGTAGCAATCTCCTCTTTTGTCACTGGCTTGATTGGCTGATAATGCCTCTTTTCCTCATCCACAAACCACTTGGGTAATCCCTCATCATGGAACATATATTTGTTGTACGCATCATCAAGAATCTGTTCCCTCTGCTTTTTCGTCAGCATCTTCTTTGCACAAGCCAATATCTCTGCTTTTGAATTAATGTCATCTTCATCTGAGTCGTCTGATGAAGAATCACTAGAATCTGTATGTGGAGCAGGAACTATCTCAAAATAATCATCTACCTTGGAAGCTTTGACTGTCGGTAATTTACTCATCGTTGAATCCATGTATTTTTTTGGTGAATCTTCAATTTTCTTCTCCTGAATTTCGGGATGTTTGACCTGCTAATCCATCTACATTTCATCTTCGCTATCATCATTCTCCAAATCCTCTCTTTCATCGGCGTCCATGAAGACATTTTGGCTTAACCATTTTGGTGCAATCTCCTCCTGACTTGGTGCATTCTCTATGAGTGGTACCACAAGCGGATTCACCTCACGATCTCCATCATTATCGGAGTCTTGACCAGAATGAACCGTGTTATTGTCATCGTAGCCCTGCCCAAACCATAAAAAAATAAAAGATACCTATTTAACAAAGTGCATTTTGTGAAACAAAATTGCTATGTTCAAAATCTACCCCAACATTGACCCGGAAAAGGAAAAAGATAATAGCCAAGGGTCAAAAGGTTGTTGTGGGGTCAACCAAGGTTGAATTAGTTGTAATAAAAATACACACACACACACCAAAAAAATATATATATAAGTTAATTTCCAAATTAATTTACATATAGAGATAAAAGCATTTATCATATTAGCTACATTTAGTTTTCATTATGCCCACTTCGAATATCAATAGAAAATGACATTAAATATAGCAAAAGCTTCAACTAACGATTTATATACAATGTATCTTATTAAAGTAAAATTAAATGAGAAATTATAGGTGAAATTAAAAAAAAAAACCAAATATTGAAATTCAAGAAATAATTTATTTTGGGCTTTACATTTCCTTGTACATTTTTACGAATAAAAATAGCTCATTGTTTAAAAGTTATCCCAACAAGTGTTAAAACTTAAAAGGCTTGAACTTTAGGGTGGCATCTACTCAACAATCCCACATCAGAAAATGCGTAAAGGAAAAAGGTTAGAAAGCAACTATAATAAGGGCTAGCCAATAGTTAAACTGTAACTTCCACAGCCTTTTACTTTTTTAGTCGTCAGGCCTGTAAATTGCCATTCTTTTTAATTAAAAAAGCTAACCGGTAAAACCAGCGCCAGGTCAAACAGTTTTGCAGCTGGACCTGACATTTGACCGGGTTTTTTCCCGATTTTCAGTTTAAGTGGTTTTAAGCCAAAACCTAAACGGTTTGTAGACGAGTTCCCGGTTTTCCGGAATGAATCGTCCTTTCCAGTCCAGTTCGGTTTTGACAACATAGCAAATTGGAGCTCATCCATTCTTTTTTGGTGCATGTGATGTAAAATGGGGAAAATGTAGCTTACATCCAAGAGCTGATCACCCTCGGAATAGGCTTGCTTTGTACGCTTTCTCTGCTTCGTGCTTCCTTCCTTTTTAGCCACAAAGCTTTCATAGGCCTCTTCAAATAATTCCTCCAGTTGCTAACCATACCTGAAAGCAGAATACTGTTAGCTTATAAAAGCATCCAAAAAATGGACCATACTTTACAAGCTTACATCCAAGTTAGGAGGAAACTACCGCTGGTGTTCTTTATCGGTGTTTGAATCACTAGATGTGTCCCCTTGGGCTTCCTCATGGGCCCTTCGCTATCAGCCTATCACTACTTCCAATCCCATCATTTTCATCATCATATTCATCGTTATCGACAGCCACAATTTCTTTCTTCCCCTGAATAAAAGCATTCCAGAGAGAGAATAAAAATTACAAGTTTAGACCAAGCAAATACTAGATATTATGTAAAAACTGACCAAAAAAATTACACACTTGGATGTGTAACACAATTTATGAAATAACATTCCCATATTTAAAGAGAACCAAATCCAACATCGATTTCCATCACTATATAGTGATAAGGCGGGATTATTGGAAAACTGGTGCTCACAGCAAAACTCCCACCATCCCTAATTCAGCAGAATTTATTACAACTTGACAACATAGACGGAAAAAAAATCCATTGTCCATTTGATTTCACCCGTGCAGGATAACAGTTATAAAAAGTCCCAAGAGTAAGAAGCAAACCACGAGACTTCATCCTATTCCTAAATGGAATGACATGCCAACTCATATAATAACTAAATGAAGGACAAAGATACCTTGATAGAAGTTGGAGAAAACAATTCATGATCCGTATAACTCTCCTCAGTTGCATCTATTTGCTTGCCTAATGCTTTCCGAGCTTTGTCCTGCAGTAAAGATAAAAGGATTTATCAGACAAAGCAGAATATATTGCATTTACACAACTAAAAATGAGGATTAGTAATGTCTTGAAAGAGCATATATACATCAAAAGCAAAATAGAGATTACATTCAAGTGCAACAACACACCCAGAGGAAAATATTGGGTGAAGATATTCGGGACAACCTAACAAAGAGAATTAGGACGTTGTATTGCATATAGAATAGGTAGAAATGTTCAAAGGAGGTGGGAATTGCTTTAGTAAAACACATCAAAGCCTGATGGGTAGACATACACGATAGGAGGCACCTGATAAAATTCGTAATATAATACATTGAGAATGTGACAAAATAAAATAATAATAATAACAATAATAATTGTAATAGACTCCAAGTCTCCAAAAATCCCTATGAAACCGATCCCATAGTGATGGTTGAAGCCCCAGCGTTGTATGGATTTCCAAGTCTATATTACTTTGTTGCAAAATTGTTACTAGATCAGCTTAACAGACATTACATCTAAATTTTAATATCACTTGTTCACAGCGCAATGACTATATTTCAGTATAACCCAGCTTTAACTATGATATGGCCTCTTAACTGGTAGAGAATATAGCATGTAGAGAGCCTGCAGTGCTATGACTATGAGGCAGATGATGACTGTTCCCCATCATTTGATATACAATCGATAGAAAAGCATTCTAGTATTTGAGTATTATCAAATTATCCTGTCATCTCAATTAAATGTTAACTAACTATAGCTTCGAAAGCCAAGACAATAGCTCAAACTAATCCGTGTTTGCTTAATTTTGTGTTCAATATGTACTTAAAAAATAGAACAGTAAAGCAGAAAGGGATTGATAAACATGGGCAATGACCTTGGCTCGTCTTTTTGCTAGAAGTTTCTTTGCCCTTTCCTTCTTCTGTTCCATGGCATTAGTCAACTCCTCCATTTCATTGAAAATTCTCTCATCTTCATCTTGCTTGCTCTCACGTTCCACAGCCATTGTAGCAGAAGTAGCCTTCTCTGAGAGAGATAGTGCCTTTCTTATATGTATACGCCATCTACACCACAACACAAACATCAAAGGCACAAAATCATGCAAGACAAACACAGAATCACCACATATGGGAAATATCTACCTATGGTTCTTTGTATGTTTCATTTGACACAATCTTACTTTAAAAGATGCTTGAAGTCTTGCTTCCCCAGAACACGAAGGTCGTCACACAGATCTTTAACCTGTCCAGTATTAAAGGAAATAGCAGTTTAATGGTCAGAGAACAAGATAGTGAACCAGGCATATTATATAAGTTTCCTTGAGTTCACTCACATATGAAGAATAAAAAAGAAGAAAAGAGTAAAACACACATCGTCGGTTGTCAAAGTATGATCCTTAATGGGTAAACATGAATGTTATAGAAGTAACTGAACCAAGGATCTCAAAAGGAGAGTTAGACCAAACAAAGTCAGCTGTAGAGCAGACCTTCCGCAAAGTTGTGTCTCCATCTTCATACCTGCAAAGGGAACCTAATCAATACTAATGCATAAACATCCACGTACATGGAGATCTGTAAAAAAGTAAAAGAAAAGAAACAAGATTTGCATAAGGTTCTCATTCATTTAAGAAAACCCTATGATAGAGTGCCAAGGGAATTATCATCGTGGGTGCTATATAAAAAAAGAATTTCCTTCACATTATCCATATTATCAAGGAAGTGTGCGGTCGTGAGATGTAGCAGAGGTGATAGATTTGCATCAAGGATCAGTACTGGGCCTTATCGATTTGATTTAGTGGTGGATGTGCTTAAGACATATCCAAGAAGAGATTCCTTGGTCCTTGGAATTCTCTCACAATGATAGACTAGGAAGGGGATGAAAGCCGAAAAGACAACACCAGTAGAATTGTCAGGGCACTTCACTAACTTCATTGTCACGATCATCTTTTGCTAGTTCTCCGCTATGTGTAAAAAAAAACATCCATACTCAAGAATAAAATAAAACTGGCTCCCAGCCATTCTTTTATATATGCCAATCAAACTTGTAGGATATTACTTATTTTTCTCTTTATTCTTTTCCTTCTTTAGTTCCATTGTTGTATTATAAAAGGATGTATATGCTTTAATAATGAATTAACGAAATAAGACTTTATTTCTCTCAGTTTCGTTCGTGGTATCAGAGCTTTAGCTATCTAAACCTAGCAACCTATGGCAGAAATCCCCTTCAACAGTTCAGGGTCAGTCATCTCCGACAACCCTCATATCGAAACGGAGGTTAACTCCACAATTGGGTCTCACAGTTTTGAGAACTCGTCATTCCAGCTCACCGTCGAAAAATTAAATGGGAAAAATTACCGTGAATGGGCCCAATCAATAAAATTGGTGATCGATGGAAAAGGGAAGCTGAGTTACCTTACCGGCGATTCGAAGAGACCAACGGAGGCTGCATTACTTCAGCGATGGAATTCTGAAAATTCCATGGTCATCGCGTGGCTGGTTAATTCCATGAAACCAACTATAGGGAAGACATTCCTCTTTCT